TCATCGTTATTTCAATTGATATCGATTCTACGCAATAATTTTCGAAAATATTTACCATTTTCATTTCATATTGCTTAAAGTAACTATAAAAAAATAACTACAAAAAACTGCCCATAAATTATTAGAAAATATATATATATATATGATATCATATATATATATATATATATGATAGTTGGCCAATATCGAAAATGCATTCGGGATATCGTTGCATCGGTAATAAGCGAGCTCAAGTAAACATTATACGAGAAAAAGACTTCTCCGTTCGTTAAACAATAATAACGATCGTCGCCAATGGCGGTGGCAGATGGCTACTATCGAGAATACGGTCTTGTTATCGGTTCGATAACGCTTTTAAACTAACACACGACGAGCAGAGACGATGCCAGGTGGCCAATAACATTATCTCGCTTGCATGAACAGTTTCACCTCACTTGTTCCGATTCTTTCGTTGTATTATAATTCGCCCTCTTTTCGATTCTATTTATTTGGTGACGAAAAAAGAAACGAGAGAGATATTTCAATATTGATACAAAATGGGGAATTTTGTTCCAATTAATCCAACTTTAACCCTTTTCGCGAGAAGTCAACGGCCGTTAGTCGCATTTGAAACGAGACGACAGACAGGAAATCTATGTTTGACTCCAATTGGCGGGCACTTGCTGCGCTCGGAGGAGGAATTCCATGCCTTTCCGGCGAGAGCCCTTCAGTTGGATAGTGTCCAAGATAAGTACGTAGTATCTACGAAAGGTTTTCGGGAAAGCGTCGCGTCGAGGTCAGCCAATGAGATCGCCAACCAGAAGGGAAAGACGATCCGGTTGCGATCTCATTGCTCGTTCGCGTCGCGATCGCGATGACTCCTCTATCTCGGAAAAACAATAAAAGGAGAGCAATGAACAGACGAGATTGGCGCCAGCGCCATGTGGCGGCCGTGCTTTGCTCTTCCCAGCTTGTTTCTCTTGAGACGAGAGGACACGAGAAAAAGATAGAGAATATATAATAGCGGAGAAATGGCGTTTATTAATACTATAGAATCAAAATCCAGCATACGTTATTTGATCCTTACATGGAAAAAACGATTTTGTTAAAATATTTAATAATTTATATTATAATAGAGCTGAAAATAATTTTAAATCACCAAAATTAGGAAATTCAAACATGATGAGAAACGCTGCGAAAGTTTTGATATTTTAGCAATCAGTTTGAGCATATTCTACATAATTATTTTGACAGTCCAATAAAATTATTTTCAAATCTATATCTAATTAAATTTTTAGATACTTTAGTCAAATCGTTTTTTTTTGTGTGGATTTCTAGTCAGAAAATTATTATTAGCACATTTTTCAATTATATTTTCGTAGCGTTATAAGTGAATATTTTCTTGTTTTATATTTTCTTTTCAAATTGTTTTAATTAAAATCAGAGTGTTAGAATAATTGGAGGATTCAAGAAAGACAGCTAATAAAAAGCTTGCTGGTCGATTTCGAGTTGCGACGCCGGACGCCTCTTAAAAATGTTAACTGATTCCGATTCACAGTAATCGCATTCGGGAGATGAGATCGATGTAGTAAGACGGAGAGGATGAATGCGAGAACGAGAGCGAAATGAAAGAATTGCGCCGGCTGCGGCGCAGGCGATCCGTGATCGAGAAATCCGATGCATCTGCAATGCTTGTCGTGCTCGATCAATTGCCACGTCAACGATCGTCGGCTCGTATGAATTATTGCTTCGATCGATGATAGTCAAATGAAACCGAACCGTTCGTTTGTGCTATCGGATACCCACGCAACATTTTGCCGAATAATTTACGTATAATTGCGGGAAAAATGTCAAAGTTCGCACACGGCTCGTGCGGATCGCAAAATTTTACGTGTCTCGTGGTCAGGAAATGTGAGAAAGGTCATGATATCGCAATCCATACTCTAACGCCGGATAAAATTACGCACCGTCGTGTTTGCATACGTATTTATTACACAAACAAGACGATTACGTCAGCTGGTTTGATAATTCGTGCATTGTATACAGTTTTGCGATTCTTGACACGATTCTCTCTCGCACACTTTGCAAAACGTATATTTGCTCCAACTTTTTCAAGAATAGTTTGAAATTTACAAAAAAAAAAAAAAGAAATATATAGTCTCTCTAAATTTCTTGGAGTGAATCTCTAAAAAAAAAAAAGTAAAAATCTGTCACTCTTATTCAAGAGTGCAAATATTTTCAACACTGGCAGCATTTTCACTCGTTTGGAGTAAGTTTTCATTCCAAGAAATTTAGAGAGATAGCATCGCTTCGAGGAAAACAAGAATCTAAAAAAGTCTTATTATGTCTTTAAAATCATTGCATACGATAAAAAAAATCGTAGAAACATGAAGAATTATTCATGGCCTCCTTCGAAATGCATCAGATGCTGAGAAGGGGTGAAGTAAAACTGTTCGCGTAAGTCGCGCGATGACAAGCGTCTTCCCCGGAGATACTAAAATCAGCGAAATTAGTCTCCGCCTTGGAATCCGAGTCGACTCCGGTCGGCGAAACGGATGGACGGGAGGAAAGGAGCAACGACGACGCAAGTATATTATAATCTTCTCTTGCTCGAGTCGAGTCCCTGTGTGCGCGCCAGATGGTACCAGCTGGATGACGCATCAAAGCAGAAAACCTCCCGCGTGTCCGAAGCGCGGTTCCGCCCACGGAATCGCGAGGCAAACACGTGTGCTTCCGTTGCTGCCGTCCATCCTCCGTCAGGTTGCGAATAGTCTCGTAATGCGAGAATTCGATATTAGGATCTCGTAACGCGCCTACGTTACTGAAGAACATTATTTGTACCTACACGTTGTCCGCACATAGACACTGGCCATATTAAATTTCAGTAGCGAATTCCTCGAGCAATTTATCTTACATTAATCATAATCTGATTGATGATATCAGTGAACGATGCAATTTAAAATTGTCGATATCGAATATAAATATAAAAATTATATATAGGAAAAAAAGCTAGAATAATTTTAAAAAATTAAATTAATAAGAATAGGGCTACGAACTAAGCAAGGTCTTGATGCTAATATTAAATAACAAATAGAATATTCCAAACGTTAAATAAGTTCATAAAAGTAGGTAAAGACTGCCTTGTAATCCTTGTGGGGTATAAAATTTCTTGCCTTGATGTGACGTAAATTAGTGTCGGTCAAACGAAGAGACGTTTACAAACGAAAATTCATGAGCGCCCTATATTATTAATAAAAAAACGGGATCTTCGTCATGGATATTTCGGATCATTGTATGAATTTTAATCACAATTTTAATTGGGAGGAGGTTAAAATTTTGGATACAGAATCATCTTAAGATAAAAGATTAATATCAGAAATGATGCATATAAAGAGTCAATCTCAAAATTTTATCCGACATGTATCTTTCTATACTACAATCGCTGTCCCCTTCCTAATGCCTTTTGTACCCCTTCTTTTCCTATCTAACGTCTTATTCTCTATTGTCAAAACAGTCATTTTCAATGTATAACTTCCAGAATAAACTTCTCTCTTCTTAAATCTTAAAAATTGAGTTCCTTTTAGCATATAATTCAAGACGCCGTTTTCGAATAATTAGATATAAAGAAATTTTGCGACGGATTACAATCAATTTTCCAGGTACTTTTTATTTTTATGATTTCTTTAAAATATACAGATTGTTTTAATTTTAAGATAACTGTTTATTTTTTACAATGTTCTATTAAATAATACATAATTGTTTTTACAATAATTTTTACTAGATTTCACTATTATATATTTCTAGACTGAAATTTATAATCTTTTTAATTGTTAGTTGTTATTATTTGATTACAAAAAAATCCGAGATATGCTTTATTTCCGTTTGATTCTACTTTAAGACATCCGTTGATTACTACAATAGCGATTTAATAATGTATTTCTTTGAAATTTATTATTCTTGTTATAATGTATAATGTTATAATGTAATCAGAGCACTATTAATTAATACTATTTGAATTTTAAAATCTGTTCATTCTCAATGTTGTTGAATAATGATATTGAACAGATTGGGATCAAAACATATATTCTAATAAACTTTCTGTTTGTTATTTAACAATAACCTTGCTTGGCTCATAGCTCTATTCTTATTAATTTACTTTAAATATATTCATCAATATAAAAACTATTTATATTTATTTACCTTAAATAAATATAGGCATTATATTGAGTATATTTCTTATATTTTTATATTCGGCGTATAAAAGAGAATAAAAGGTTTAAAAAATTGTGTAGTTCAATTGATAAATTGAACGAATTTACCTATGAACTTCGATCTTAATTATGCCCCTTGTCTCGTTCGGATGGAAACTATGTAGTGTCCTTGTGCACTGCTTTGGCAACAGATTTAAAACACCGTCAAGAAAATGAAAGAAAAACATCTCACGCTCCTCGCATTCCGTAGCTCTAGTCCTAACGCACGATCGCCACACATGGTGGAAGTATATTTATAAAATATATTTATATTTTATAAAATATATTTATATAATAAATTTATATAATACATTTATATGATATATTTATATATTTATATAATATACTTCCATCATGGGCATGGTGGAATCAGAAAAGTTGAAGCATTGAACACGATAGTATAAGGAGAAGGCGAATTTTGATCAATCAATCAGCATTGCATGTCTATCGATCAATCAAACGCTATCGGCATATCATTGCGCGTCCTTCGGAATGCTTCACCTACGTAGGGCACGACTACATAGTTATATAGTTTCCATCCGGACGAGACTTAAGAAGGCATAATTAATTATTTCTTTCTTTCTATTATTATCTTATACTGCAATATTCATAGTACACAGGATATCCGTAACTAGATCTGTCCGTGCCACTTGAACTTTGTGCACTCAGAATATTTGTACTCTTTTTCTCTAATATTGAAAGTACAAGTTTTTTAGGAATTTTAAGCAACACAAACGTGCACTGACGTATTTTTCTTCATTTCGTTTACAGCTGGTGTCATGGCGGGTTCCGAGAGAGATAGCGGCTCTTGCAGTAGTGTCGATGAGGACAGTAGATCAAGTTTGCATTCGCCTACTTCATCTGAGGACAGTGTCGAAGTGCAGGTAATACCAATTTCGTTGAGAAACAAGCGGAAACTGGCAGAGCCACGAAAGATTCAAGAACCTGCAGTCATCATAGCACCATTGAAGAAGAGACGGTTTGATCCTATTTCCAAGGAGACAACCGTGGATCAAGAGGAGAGCAGGTCTCTAAACACATCGAATCCTTTTCGACCATGGATTCCTTCTTCCTATAAAAATGAATCGGAGACAATCGTGACTTCGTCAATGACGACATCGACGAATACGATTTCCATGACAACTGCGATGACGATGACAACGACATTGTCCAGTGAAAAAGAGAAAGAAGAAAAAGAAAGGAGAAAACAGCAAAATGAGACGACGCAGAGGCTGCACGAATCATTCAGAAGACTACAACATCCTACCGGTCACAATCGATTGGCTGTTTCATCTCGACGAGAGCCTCGTCAGAGGTTCTTCGAGCCAGTAGCGCCAACAGCAGCAACGACGTCTTCGTCGAATACGATCTCTCTACCGCATCCTAGGCTGCAGGACGAGCCATTATCTTTGGTAGTGAGAAACGAAGCATCCAGAGTGCCGTCGCATCCTGCTGTAAGTGGCTCCTACGACAAGACGCCATCGTACATGATGGAACACTTGTTGCAATCCTCAGTACAGATAGCTTCATCCGGTCAGAATCATCAGACTCATCAGAGTCATCAAGTGGCTCCCATGACATCGAGACACCATCATCAAGGCGGCCAGCAAAGAAATTACAAGAACATGACGAGGGAGAGACGGATAGAAGCAAACGCTCGAGAAAGAACTAGAGTGCATACCATCAGCGCGGCCTTTGACACGTTAAGACGAGCAATACCTGCCTATTCACATAACCAAAAATTGTCAAAATTATCCGTATTGAGGATTGCCTGCAGCTACATTATGACGCTTAGCAAGATTCTCGGTAAGGATGGCGAAGTGATGGCCACAAAGAGCAACGGCCACGCAGACTTGAGTAGCTGCGTAGAGCTAGTCTCCAGGACTATTCAGACGGAGGGCAAACTCAGAAAGCGGAAAGAAGACTGAACGAATCGTGTTTTCACCTGAACAATGGGAACAAGATTGGAACGATAGACAATGGAATCTGTCACAACAGAAAGAGCGGAGGATGTTCCGCATTGTCCGCTTATATATCTTCTATTCTCGATGCCATGTGGTGTTCGAGGGAGAGAAGGATGATGTAAGGTTAAGTAATTTAAGCAACTAATCATCACCAGTTTCTATGCTGAGCGTATTAATTCAAAGACTCGATTAAGAATGCGTTAATTAGAGTCGCGAGTTACGAGTGTGATGAAACAATTTTCAAAAGTAGTGACGACAGGATGAATTGAGTCTTATTCGCAAAAAATGTACTCTCAATATTTTTTGGAGTAAAATCTCACTTCAAAAAAGTGAAAATATTTGCCATTCTTGAATAAGAGTGGTAAATCTTCAATCTTTTTTTTTTGGAATGAGATTTCACTCTAAGAAATTTAGAGAATAGGATAACTACTTCTGTCGTTTTACAAAAATTGTACATTACGCTTTTGAAATCATAATAAACTTTAAATTTTAATGAATACTACTGTAGCAAAGAATTTCTCGCGATGGTAATTCGTCTACATACCGATTGCAGTTACGCAACCAGACAATAAATTTTAGAAAAATTCTCATACTTAGATCACGCTTAAATTTACAACAGATACTGCTACAGACGTTGCACAGTATCACGGAATTTACGACAGCGGCGAATGTTTATGTAGGATTTGACCATTTATGATAGAAGCTAGTCTTGAAGCTATTTTAACCCTTTTGAAATGGTAATGTCCAATACATCTAATTTACTAATCCCATAAAATAATCACTCTAATAGCACACTTTATCCGGGATACATCTTAGGGATATCTTTAGGATGTTCAAAAGACATATGGACGTCCTAAGGACGTCTCTTGGAATGCTATTAGGGCTATATTTTTATCAAAGAAAGAAATTTTATAATTCTTAGGAACTTCTTTCACCAACTTCTGGTTAAATTAATCGACGATCAACTCACAGAAGTGCGAATGTATCACAGCAGTTTAATGTATCAGAATGTTTCCTCTCTTTTCCTCTTCTGTGTTTATCTTTGATGGTGAGAAACGAGGCATCCAGAGTGCTGTCGCACTCTGCTATAAGTGGCTTCTACGAGAAGATCGCTGAACATCGAATCTTTTTCGATCGAATGGATTCCTTCTTCCTATAAAAATGAATCCAAGACAATCGTCGATGACGAAGTCGACGATTTCCAATACCATGACAACAACTGCGATGACAACGACATTATCCAGCGAAAGAGAGAAAGAAGAAAGCAAAAGACAACAAGATGAGACACAGAGGTTACACGAATCATTCAGAAGACAACATTCTACCGGTCACAATCGATCGGCTGTTTCATCTCGACGAGAGCCTCGTCAGAGATTATTTTAGCCATCGTACATGATGGAATACTTGTTGGCAGCTTCGTCGGGTCAGAATCATCAAAATCATCAGATTCATCAGAGTCAACGAAATCATCAGATTCATCAGAGTGGCTCCCATGACATCGAGACATCATCATCAGGGCGCCCAGCAAAGAAATTACAAGAGCATAACGAGAGAAAGATAATTCTCTAACAGTTCTCACGTTGGCAATCATAGTGAATTAACCATCGATAGATTAATCAAGGTTGGTGAAAGAAACCCTTAAAGGAATCTTAAACTGAAGGCCGAAAGTTTTGAAGAACCATTTGTCCGCGGCGGACGTATCTCGGATCGAGTGCTACTATTCGATATATTTTTTAAATATATGATTCCCTTAAAAATGCTAGAAGGTTTATCATATTTTTGTCTATTGGTAATGCCAATGTTTCGTGAACTTCAGGGCGAAGAGCGCTCTCGTTCTGATGAAGTGAACGGCAAAGTTCACGAAACGTTGGCATTAGCAATGGACAAAAACACGGCGATAACTTGCAAAGTTAAAACTTCTAGCATCTTTAAAGATAAAAGCCATGGAAGCCTAAGAAACATCATAATTTTCTAAATTTCCATTTTCATGACGATAACTTCATAGAGAGCGTTATAATAAACAATTATAATAAATATGTATTTTTCTGTCTTAAATATTTTTTGCGATTCGTTGTCTTTTAAAGGGGTTAAACGTAAAACATGCAAACGCGCCTTAGTTCGGCTAAGATTCGTGTGTCACCTAAAGCAACGATTTTCAAACTATGATTGAAATGCACTTATTTCAACGAAAGGACAAAAGAATCGATCGATTGTCTGCAATCTGTTGAATCAGCTTACGACCCAGTGAAAAATGACAATGGAATCGATTCGACGTCGAAATCATCAAATTGATGTCGAATCGATGTTAATTCGACATTGAATAATATGGGGACATGCCAATCTAAGATATACGCGAAAAAGAACGAATTAAAAGGGAAGACAATAATAATACTGCTTGCGAAGTTCTTGATAAAGCGGTGAATGTTTACGACGAAACTACAAATGATATCGTCCTCCTATAGAAATATGGTAGTCAAATAAAACACGCGTAATAAAAGTACAGTTATAACTAGATGGGATTTGTTAGAATTGTCTCATTTTCAGGAATACTATTACTTTTCAAACTCTGGCACTCACTATTGATGATAAAAAACAGAACACATGAATGTAATTTGTTTTTTTTTAAATTGGTTTTAATATTATAATTCAATATTATTATAATATCGACAATTAAAAAAAAAATATGTTGAATAATTTTGATTCCGAGATATACATTGAATTGTTAACAAAAGGATCGTTGTAAAAATTTATTTAAAAAATATTCGATTGTCATTATTACTATAGCAAGAGAAGGACATTATTTGATCCTGAGACAATTAAAGTTAAGGCCTTATCTACAATAGTCGTATAATCTGTGTCGCAGATCGTAAATTTGTTGCAAGAGCCAATTTGATGTCAATATTAAAAATTGACGCTTTATTCTCATGCGACTATTGTAGATGAGACCTAAAAGAAGAGCAGTTGGTGTATGCTCGCACAGTCTTTTTGCGTGGTTCTATCGAGACTGCGTCTCGATCTCGGATTTTGTAAATAGCGAAGTTAAAATTACGATTAACGATTTATGCGAGAATAATCGAATGTGTTATATGGTGTGAGAAAGGAGCGCATTTGCACGTTGGCCTTATGCGACGATTCGATGCGATATCCAATATGTACCTTTCTATGTTAGAAGATAAAAAAAAACTTCGAACAAAGTTCAAATGAAAGTGAAACTCAACAACGAAAATTATGTCTTTTTTGCAATACCCTTTCCCATCACGATCTCCCTCGTAACTATTACTTTCTCTAAAATTAATGCTGCTCCTTATTTGCGAATTCCGCTCGTCAAGAAATAGAAGAAAAATATACGGAAGCTTTTAATTTGTATCGTTTGAATGTTATGTATTATGTACAACATTTTTTATTTGTTAGCTTAAATACAAAGCTATCGGAAAAATCTATCGCGTTCTTCATCGTATCTTAATGTGAGAATCACCTAAGGTGACTATTTTGCACCTCAGCGACGAAAGATTGTGAATTATTGCAAAATAATATTTTGTATAATATTATTTAACATATTTCCTTTCTTTTTTAATAATAACTATTCTTTACGAATCTTTAAATATACAATTCCATTGAAAATCTGCAATAAAAAGGCGTTAATTAAAATCTTTATATTTTGGAAACACTATCGTAATAAGCTATACTTAATTATTCCATTTAATATTCCGTTTAATATTCCGTTTTCTACTTATTTTCTTCAGAAAATTAAATTGACAGAAGATTAAATCGTAATGTTCTCAAATATTAATATAACGGAAAACAATTAATATAATATACAATATATAATATTTTAATATAATAGTGACTTTAATTGGGGTATAAAGATACTCCAGATGATACTTTTATGTAAAAAAAAAAAAATCAAATGTCTATTCCCAAGTTAATCGAACAAGTTTGGAAATTGACGCGTTTAACGCAAACAACAATACGAGACGATATAATACGCATCCGCACGTATCATTTCGCGAATGCAATATCGAACAAAAATCTGTGGTAAATTCAAGCTGAGCGAACATTGCTCGGTTGGGTGTATGTGTATAACCAGTTACGGCTAGATTTCACGAGTTTGCCTAAGCGCCCGAGATGGAATCGCGACTGTTATCACGACGACGAAGTAAAAGTGGATCTAACAGCAATTTATAAAAACGTATACTACGCACACGTGAACGCGGAATGTATTCAGGTGTAACAATACTGAACACATCGTCGGAGTGACGACGGGGATGTTCCCCGAGCGCGCACATCTGGCCCACAAAAGATAACGATATCGGCCAACAATCCGATTGTGTTACCTGCCACTGCACGATACACTGCACACATCGAGCACATTCGGTACGTATATATGTAATCGCTATACCGCGAAACCGCGAAACCGCGATAGTTTTGCGCTGCTGTATTTGTGCCAATTATAGCATAAGTTACGATGCTTCGTTTCTTTATCTAATCTCAAATATTTTTGGTGTTCTTTCGTTTTCCTTTCAGGCTCTTCCAGGAAATTTTGAAAAATTGTTCAGAACAAACAGAGTTCGATATATTGTATTATTAAGATTTTGTACAAAGAAAAAAACATCAATTTTGCTGAATATCTAAAAATCTAGTTAAATACAGATCTGAAAATAATTTTATTGGACTATCAGAATAATTATGTATAAATAAGATTTCTCAAACATATTGAACAATGTTGCAAAAAAACTTAACAGTGTAACAATCTAAGCATCCTACATAATTATTTTTATGAGCTAACAAAATTATTTTCAGATTTGCACTCAATTAAATTTTCAGATACTTCAGCAGAACTTTCCTTTCCAAGAAATTGAAGAAATCATACGTGGATGTATAAATTTTCTAACTTTACAAGGAGAGAAGCTCAAAGTGAGCTAAAATGCGAAAGAATTTTATCTCATACATATATATATAAATAATAAAATTTTTCCGTTGTAATTATGATTTGTATTTAATCCTTTTTTGTAATTTTCGTTATAATCGCCGGATTGGCGCGGAGCGCCAGCTCTGTATCCGGTTTGGCAGCTGTTTAGCATAAGGGCAAATTGCTTAAGAAAATAATGATTCTTCTGCGCCGCCATCGTCTTTCGCCCCATCTTTTGCGACCCGCGCCTCCTTCCATCATTATCTGAGAGATGCGGCAGGTGGCGATGACGTTCTCGCGCTCGGCCGTTCGGCTACCTACCTCGAAAATGAGCGCGCGGTT